AGAGATCGAGTTTTATGGCCGACCATGCGCCGATGCCCGACGGGGCCCGCTGCTCCACCGTCTTTGTGTTTTCTCCGTTCCTGGGCCCAAATTTCGCTTCTAAACCCACGTACTTTTCCGAGGAAACGAGAGAGGGTTACGACGCAGGTTTTACATTCACTGGCCATGTTTCTTGGGCTTGGGATTATACCGTATTAATCTGGGCCTGATGAAGCGACGAAGAATTCTAGCTTTCGACACTGTGCTTCGCTCGTAATTAATTTCTTAACCCTATGTACTCGAATGGTGGACCTCAGTCATCTTGAAGCTTGGGTAAAGAATAATTAGATAATTAGAAGTAACCATACTATGTATGTGACATATTGAAACGAAGAACGCGGGATTTTCTTTTTTATTTTAGCATAAATGGCAAAAAATAAATGGCAGCACCAAATGGAGTTTAGAAAAATATAAGAAAAGCTTCAACTGTACCAGAAAAGTGCTATTATTAGTGTTAACCATCAATTACTCCAATAAAAGGTACGCTAAGTGTGCACATGTGCTGGCTCACTGAAAGCTAATAAATATGTACGTGATTCCCCAAAATTCAAACTGCTCTGAGTACTATACTTTCCAAATATAGTAATCTCACAGCGAAAAAATTTTCGAATACAAAGGGTTAATTTACGTAGTATGTCTCTCTTCTTGTCTAGTTTCTTCAGCTTTCTATGCGTACATTTATGCGGTAACTGATCACTTGATTTTTCTCTCCTGTGAGTAGAAAACTGGCAAAAACTTTGGATTCTTTCTCCCCGAAGACTTGGAAACGGTATCAGGTGGAGAGAGTCGAAATGGGTTTATTATACTTCGTTCGGAGCTCTATACCCCCCAAAACTTCCTTCACCGGAGATTCCCACAAAGCCCAGCGTCCCATTGGCTGCCGCGATATTATAAAAGGCAGACCTGCTATTTTGCCGGAAAAAAAATTTCGGTTGGGCAGTCGGGTATCCCATTATCGTCGACGGGTAATATCGTAACACAGGGATGGTGTGAGTAACATGGAAGTCGTGAGATCCGTGCACCGGCGACACGAACGTACGAGAAGGTGCAGCTACGTGCAGCTACGCTGTTCCGCCTATCGGAAATGCAACGTACCTCGAAAGCTCCCGTTCCCTTCTATCGCGTGATTTATTATATTATTCCCGGTTACCGAGCCCTCTGACAACTATGACCAGCTAATGGCCTATCGCGACAATTCGACCAGCGCGCTTCCTTCGAGGCCGACGCCAGCCATCGTGGAAATTATGCGACCGGGCAGCCAGTTTCCGAACCCCCTGTCTAGCTTCTTTATCCTAGCTGCTATACGATAGAAGCGCAACACTGGTCTCCGCTGAAAGAGAACAGTGCCTCGAAACCGAGAACTTCATTATCGCCTCGTAAACCCCAGCCCAATGGACACCATCTTCTGCATCTTCCCATAGCGACTCTGTACTTCCCTAACTCTCGCTGCGAGCTGGCTTCATCCTATGGATCCTACGGGTCGTGATCTATGCTCGGAGTTAAACAAACGTGAGATTGTTACTGATTTGTCTCACCTAGAACTCTAGGAAGTGTCAACGTGACTCGTTTCTAGAAATGTATACCTACTTTTGACAAAATCAGTGTTGCACGATTCTCTGTATTCGTTGTATCACTGCAATTATTATCACGCGTGACAGATATATTTATATCTTGGAAATTGGTCACTGGCTATCTTCGAACTTCTTTCTCTTTGCAAACTGAGATTTTGGTATTATTTGTCTAAGATATATTTAAAATTTGGGCACTAGTATGTCTAACATCCTAAGCTCAGAATTTTCCAATATGTTTATAGTCTATTCATTATATATTTAGTGCTAGTGCTAGTTACAGTAGTATCTTGGAAATTGGTCACTGGCTATCTTCGAACTTCTTCCTCTTTGCAAATGGAGACTTTGCTGTCTTATCTGTCAAAAATATATCTGAGATGTGGACACGAGTGTGTTTGAAATTCTAAGCTCAGAATTTTCCAAGGTCTACTCGTTATATATCCAGTGCTAGTGCTAGTTATAGTAGTATCTTGGAAATTGGTCACTGGCTATCTTCGAACTTCTTCCTCTTTGCAAATTGAGACTTTGCTGTCTTATTTGTCAAAAATATATCTGAGATGTGGACACGAGTGTGTTTGAAATTCTAAGCTCAGAATTTTCCAATATGTTTATAGTCTATTCATTATATACCCAGTGCTAGTGCTAGTTACAGTAGTATCTTGGAAATTGGTCACTGGCTATCTTGGAACTTCTTTCTCTTTAAAAACTGAGACTTTGGTCTTTTATCTGTGAAAAATATATCTAAGATGTGAACACGAGTGTGCCTAAAATCCTAAGCCTAGGAATTTTCCAGAAAATTCCTCTTCGACTTTGATCAGATTCCATCCCGATCATCGTGCAGTTCCCAAGGTACCAGCTAGGAAGCTCCAGTTATGAACCTCGGATTTATTTGTTACGAATGGAGCTGTAAAGTTCCAAATCCATGGTCGGACCAACTAAAAATAGCGGTCTCGTGGTCGTGGCTCCTTGCTGCTCGGATAACAGCTGTCCACTGGAGCAACCCGTGGCTTCTCTGTATGGAAACATCGCGTAGCGCCAGCGTCTTCCTATTTCTACGAGAGCTTACACGTTCCTCGAGTATGTAGCAAGCCGAGCGCGGGTCCGTATCATTTCCACCGGCTGATTTATTGCATTATTCCAGGCGTCGAAGGCCGGACAACCGTGGCCATGGCGTAGCAAGCCGGCCTGTTAATTCGATCTATTTTCTAGGCTGGCTCGAAGCTAGGGTGCGTGGTGGACCCGATTATCCGATCGACGCTCATACGCGCGCTGCACCGAGAGAGAAAGCGAGAGAGAGAGAGAGAGAGAGAGGGAGAGAGGGAAAGGAAGAGAGAATATACCGAAGAGTTATTCTCGTTCTGGTCGTTTTTCTTGAACGAAGGAACGAGGAAACTATGGGTTCCTCGTGCACCACGGGCTCATCGTCCGTCGCTGCCTAGGCCGGATTAATTATGCGCGATAAAGTGCGTTGGACACGTGTAGTTACATGTGCCGTACGTGCGCCTATGTCGCCGTCGCGACGTCACGACCGATCAGATATTTCCTGAAATAATGCCGCTGCCTCTGGCCGTCCCTTTCTCCACCCTGCCGCGCCGACCAGCTCCTCGTTCGGGGCAGTTCCAACTGTCTGGCGCGGTGCATTCGGGGGTTGCTCCAGGATTATTGCCATTACTCGCTTTCGCACGATACGATTCGAGGCTCGTAGTTTTCTGGAAACCCTTCAGGCGGCGCCTAGTCGAGGGTAAATTTCTCAGGGACTTTTTAATCGGGTAGCTTTCCCATAGAACCTAGCTTTTCCTTTATCCTTAATAATTATGAATACCGTGTTGGTACCTGTCGAAGAATACAGCGATGAATGTAAGACGATATATTGGAAAATTTGATGAAATGAGATTAAAATATGAAGGAGTTACGGGGTTAGGTACACTCGTAGTTTCCTCTTTCTTTTTTTTTTTTTTTTTTTTTTTTTTTTTTTTTTTTTTTTTTTTTTTTTTTTTTTTTTTTTTTTTTTTTAATGGTAAGGAACGAGTTAAAAAACTTGCATAATCGGGAAATTGGACGTTACATGTGTTTACTGTGAAAGTATGAAAGGATTGAAAAAAAAAAAAAAAACAATTGGATTGCCCTTAGCAGAGCGTGGTTTCGATCCACGGACCTCTGGGTTATGGGCCCAGCACGCTTCCACTGCGCCACTCTGCTATTGTGTTTGAATGTCTTCTAAAGCTGGTTTTACGGCATTTGTTGGGGGTGGAAAGAAAATAAATCAATAACTCTAAGTTTCTAAAATTAATATTACGCTATACCGCTATTAATAACAGGATAATTTAAGCGAATAACGTAGAGCTTATTGATTAATATACCGTGCTCACGTTACGATTATTAAAGAATCTCGTTTATTATCAGATACATAATATAGTATTATAATATTTATTACTCCGTGTTATCATGGAATATTACTTTTTTCCATGAATTTATTACTGTAGAAAACCTAACTGTGTTAACGAGCAATAGAATAAAGTGCATTCGCTTTACGAATTTTTCAATAAAGGATTACAAATTTATCGAGAAATATGGATGAAAATTAAACGTTTTGACGTTTAATCTCGTGGAAAATGATTAAAAAACTAATTTCAACGAAGCAGAGTGGCGCAGTGGAAGCGTGCTGGGCCCATAACCCAGAGGTCCGTGGATCGAAACCACGCTCTGCTAAGAATTCTTCATTTTTGCAAATTTTTGTTTACCTATGTGTACTACGAACATGCTCAACCTACTCCAATCGTTAAAACTTATTTAACGCAGATAAAATTAGAAAGACACTCAGTAGGAAGCATGCGCGATACGATTACGAAGAATTTACATTGAAGAAAAGCAAAAAAAAAAGATTTGTTAGGAATTAAACCAACCCTCTTAGCAGAGCGTGGTTTCGATCCACGGACCTCTGGGTTATGGGCCCAGCACGCTTCCACTGCGCCACTCTGCTCCGATGTTGAAACTCGGGGAAAGTTGCGGCATGTTGCAAAATTGTTTTTTATTAGTTTTTATTCCTTTTTTAATACACATCCATTAATCTAAATATACTATAATACCGTAAAAAATTCTATATACTTGATTATACAACCGAAATTAAATATTTCCATCTCTAACAATCCCTGAAAGTTAATACTAACATAACCTATACAACAAGATTTAAATTTTTAGTTAAAAATTCCGTATTTAACGTTATCGCCCTGGTTACTTGACTTTCGATTTTTCTTTTACTATATGTTTCACGAATTTTCAGATATTTTCTCTTGTTCTATCATTTTTAAGTTTCATTTTCTTCATTCTTCAGCTATAAGTCTTCGGACCGGTTATGATGGGCTTAGTGTTAATTAACCTTTTTATTCGTTTCAGTCCGACATTGTCCACCAAAGCGTTTACGAGCTGGTCCACAGCGAAGATCGAGAGGAACTGCAAAGGCAGCTGATGTGGAACTCCTTTCTGCCGGCCGAAAGTGCGAGTCTCCCCTTGCACGACGCCCTTTCACCCCAACACAGTCATGTCCTGGAGCGCAGCTTCACCGTCCGTTTCCGGTGTCTTCTGGACAACACATCCGGCTTTTTGGTGAGTTTGTGCATTTGCGAATTCAGACGCCGCTGCCCGCGCAATTTTATAGAACGTGTTCCCCATGCCGGGAGTGCAGGCATTCGCAAAACGATCATTAATGGTTTCACTGTCGTGCAAGGTAGAGCAGCATGACTTTGCTACCCCGTTTTCCTTTCTCTCCGGTAATTACTTTTTTCTTTCTTCGAACGCGGTTCTAATGCTTGCAAAAAAAGTACTTATCTACCTGCAGGTGTATGCTGGTCGGTTTTAAACGGTGGTGCTAGTCTCGAATATCCAGCAGGTTTTCAGGGTTGTCTCCAAGGTCAGCGAAGGTCATCGCAAGGGCACCCAAGGTCAATTCCAAGTCGTCTACGGACAAATCGATGCCGATTCAGGGTCATTTAAAGGTCGTTTCAAAGTCATCTCGGATTGTACGTCATGCAAAGTTCGTTTACCGTTCTATCGTGACGTTTCCTGGTCATTCGAAGCTCGTTTAACTGTCGTTTCGCACTCGTTTAAGTGTCGCGCGGAGATAGATTCAGAGCTAACGAGAGAAACATCTGAAAGATCTCGTCATTGGCGATACTGTTTGAGTACTTGTATTACCGAGACGTGACCGTTTCTATCGCGAGACCAATCGATACCGGGTCTTTAGCTGTGCGTATCTCGCATGCCTGGTCACAGTTCCATGTTCGTTTAGGGAACGTGCAACGTAACTCTGGTTCATTCATGGAAACCTGCGCACACGGTCACGCGAACAGAGGATGATCCGTTGACCCGTGCGGAGGAACAGTTTCCGTGCTGATATCTCGCGTCGGTATCCCGTGAAAATCGGCCCCATTTCCACCCTTTCCGACGGCTTCAAAGAACCCGCGGAACAAGCGTCACACGACAAGGAGTCGCGAGCTATTGATCCGATTTTTACGGCATCACATTTTCATAATTGCCAGCGAGAGCTGCGTTTAACTCTGCGGCTCGCGATAATAGAGTTAATTGCAAAGGAGGGAGCCAAGTCTCTCTCTCTCTCTCTCTCTCCCTGTTCGTTAGTAATTACCCTCTGCCTTTTTATTTCCCTCCTTCCTTGGCATCTGGTGGTTGCAATTGCCGCGACCTTCTCGTCCAAGAAGTTTCGTTACACTCTGCACGTTTTCATACGTTTGTTGCTCTATCCTCGACGATTTCTAATACAGAAATTCCGTTCAACCCTGTCGCGATGAGAGAACGAAGCTGGTATATACGAGGAATAATTTCGCGTGAATTTCGATAAAAACGAAGAGCGT